TGTTGCAGACTGACCCATTAGGAGGGCTGGTTGCTCCCCCTCTCAGCACCATGGTCAGGTGCAGCGTTCCTGCCGGAAAGGTGGGGGGCCACCTGCCCCTCTTCTGGTGCCGGTTGCTCCGCAGCTTTGTAGTACTGTGAGCTCTGCCTCAGGTCGGTGCTCTGTAGGCAGGCTCAGGAAAGACTGTGGAACAGCCCTGCCCCTGCTCTGGGCCAAATCTCAGCTCCTTGTTTGTCTTGGCAGTGTGAGTTCTCTGAGGGACCAGGACAGAAGGATCCCATCTACCTCAGGCTGTAGACAAGTGTCTGTCTGACCTTTGAGGTTTCTAAGCCCTTAGGTGCAGATTCAGGTTTCGCCCCTGCCCCCACCTGGGTGCTAAGCGCTGGAGGTAAGGCGGCTGTGCCTGAGCCCCACCTCTCTTCACCCAAAAACCTTCCACGGGTTTTCAGAAATGGGTTTATGCACACTTCCCCCCAGGGCACATCAGCCATGTTGTTTTATGGAGGGCCCAGTTTGTTCTGCCCTGTGCAGCCACAACCACAGCACACAGCTCCCTGCAGTCCCCTGGGGCTGCCTCAGTGTAGCCATGCCAGTCCTCTGCCTGGCTCCAGCAGCTCGTCCTGGCCACAGTTGCCAGCTCTTGACTTGGGCTGGGTGTTGCGGGGACCCTCTGTGCCTGCTTAACTTAGTTCTGTCGGTCAAGGGCTGTTCTTTACAGATTCCAGCCTCAGAGGCTCCCTCTCCATCCTGCTGGCCTCTCCATTGGAGAGGGGGAGACATAGCAACCGATTGCTATTCCTCCTTTGTTGCTCCCTCCACACAGGACCTGTCCCACACTGTTTTGCCTTTTCTTCTTTCTTTTTTCCTTTTCTCCTATCAGATTTTTGGCCTCTCTGTCTTTTGAGGAGGAGGATGTTTTGTCGGAGTTCTGCAGGTACTCTGGTTGGCTGATTAGTTCCATGGATGTGAATCTTGGTGTATTTGTGGGATTGGGTGAGCTACGAGCATCCTACTAGTCTGCCATCTTTGCCTCCTCTCCATGCTTTCTTTTTTTATGTTACTATTTATCATCCTTTCATTTGAGCTTCTAGAATTTTCTTTAGCATTTCTTTTAAGGAAGTTCTGTGGTAAGAAACTCCCTCATCTTTTGTTTGTCCTGGAAATTCTTTAAGTCTCCCTCATTTTTGATAGACAGCTTTTATGTGTAAATTATTCTTCCTTCATAGCTTTCTTTTCTTTTAGGAATTTATATTTATCATCCCAGTCTCTCCAGACCTTTAAAGTTTCTGTTAAAAATTTTACTCATAACCTTATGGCAGTCTCTTGTATGAGATGATTTTTTTCCCTCTAGTTTCTTTCAAAGGTTTTCATTGTCTTTGATTTTTTTAGTTCTATAATTGATGTCTATGAAATTGTCTTTACATTCAATTTGTAAAGAATTATATGAGTTTTATGTATCTTGATATCCATTTCTCTCCCCAGTTTTGGGAAGTTTTCATCCATTACTTTTTTAAAACAATTTTTCTGCCTTTTTCTCTCTCTCTTCTCCTTTTGAGAATTCTACAATATGACTATTATTTGATGGTGTCCCTTAATACAAGTAAGTTTTCTTCACTTTTTTTCAATCTTTTTCTTCATTAACTATGTAATTTCAAATGAACCATCTTCAAGTTCATAGATTCTTTCTTCTGCTGATTGGGTCATCTGTTGATGCTGTCTCTTTCATTTTTTATTTCATTTATTGTGTTCTTCAGATCAATAGTAACTGGTACTTTTTCTGATTTTTATCTCTCTATTGAATCTCTCATGTTGCACATGTATTGTTTTCCTGAATTTGTTATTTATGTTGCCTTGTAGCTTACTGGGCTTCCTTAAAACTTTGATTTATTTTTCAGGAAGTTCATAGATCTTCATTTCTTTGTGATCAGTTCTTGGAAAATTTTTGTTCTTTTATTGGTGTTATGTTTCTTTGATTTATTTTTTGGTATTTTTGTATTGATATGTGCACATTTGATAGTGTGACCACCTCTTCCAGACTTTACGGACTGGTGTTGGTGGGTCAAGACCTCCACCTGTGGGTGAGTTTGAGAGAGCCACTATGTGGAGCAAGGTGGTTCTGGCTTTTGGGGAAACTCAGTGGCATAGCATCTATGTGGCTCTGTTAGCTTAGGTTATTGTCAGTGAAGATGCAGGGATCCACAGTGGCTAAGGTTGCAGGTGTCTGCAGTGGTCATAAGGGCTTGTGGGGACTTCTTGGGGACAGTGGTTCAGGAAACTATGGCATTGGTATGCCACAGTGGCAATAACTCTTGTGCCTGACACATGGTCACATGCAGACCAGACATGAAACCTGGGGCTGGAGTATGGACACATGTGGACGTACAGTGCATCTGAGGTCTAGGTCTCTGGCTAGCCACAGCAGTGTTGGCTCCTGTGCTTGAGACATAGGTGATCATAGATTTATTGATCATAGATCGTAGATCATAGATTCACAGGCTGTGGAGCTGGGATTTGGAAGACAAGCACATGCAGAGAGGCCACAGAGCTAGGTTCTGTCATGAGTGTACATGGGGTAGCCATGGAGTTGGTGTCTGAACTGTGGATGCATATGAAGCAGTTCTTTCTATGGGGTCTGAGATGTATGGGTTTGGGAAATTGACAGCCCTGATTTCAGGGTAATACAACAACAGCTATTTTTGGGGGAGGATACAGAAATTACTCCCTCTCTGGTGGGCTCGGGATGGTGAGAGCTGTTGATTACCTCAGTGGCGAAAGCTCCTGGCATTCCCTGCAGAATAATCTGTTGGGGTCTATGGTGATGAACACAGTAGTATTCTTCTCTGTGAAAACTTCAGGGAGTTTGTAGCTTTTGTGGCATCTGTTGAGGCCTTCAGCAGAAAAGGCTACTGGAATACTCCATAGAGCAGGCCACTGGGGATGATGTTGGCACCTCCTCCTTGGCTAGTACAGACAAACCCTCCCCTGTATTGTTCCTAGCTGTCTTACCATTCATGCTGATGAGCCAGTAGTTCTCAGTAAAGACTACACAAATACCTCCACAGATTTTCACTAAAATGAGAAAATGCTACTTGTGAGTTCACCTCATATTTTAATACCTTTCCCCTCATATTTTAATACCTTCTGTTTGGAGTTTTTTTTTCTCTTTAACAGGAAGCATTAATAATAACAGAATAATTAACATATTAATGATTTGCATGTTTCAGGTACTGCTATAAATGTTACACATGTGTTAAATAATTAAATCATATCAACAGTCTTGTGGGATAAACATTAATAGTTTCATTATTCATGTGAGGAAACTGAGTACAGAAAGTATAGGTAATATACCTAAGAAGACACAGTAAATAGTGGAGCTGGGATACAAATCTATGTATTTTAGCTGTGGATTAGTACTATGCAGTATAAATAAACATGAGCCACTCAAGTAAGTGTGAATATACTAATAGCCATGATTTAAAAAGTAGAAAAGGAATGGGTGAAATTAATTTTAATAATATGTTATTATTTAAGTATGTCAAAATATAATTTCAACATATTGTACTAGTCACTTTTTAAATGCTCAGTAGAAACATGGCTTACAGATATTGTGTTGGACAGCTCAGATCTAGAGTTTTAAAAAAAAGCTAAATTTGATATAGGCTTTAAAACCAACTAAATTTGGTATAAAATCATGGTTCTGACATTTATTAGCTGAGTGGTCCTGAGCACAATTTTGAATATCTCATCTCAGAGCCTAACTTTCTTGATATGTAAATTGTGCATAATAGTAGTACCTACTTCTCATGATTATTAAGATTGAATGATTGAAGAGTGTTTAGAACAGTGCCTGGCACATATCAATGATTGTTAACTATCGTCATCATCATCATCACTTATTATTCTAACACACTCTATAATATACATTTCTTCCTTTTATGGCAAATTGTCTAAGACATCTGGCAATAACAAATATTACTTATGGACTCCTAATGGTACTTTGCATCAGTTCTCTCACTGCTTCCTTACAACCACACTGCTAGGTATATATCTCAAGTTTACAACTTATGCAACTGAAACTAAGTGAGACAAAAAACCTGCATAGATCACAGAAGTAGAAAATGAGAGCTCCAGAATTTTTGTTCAATTTAAAGGCATAGACTTATTTTTGTGTGAATAGTTTGACTAATTGTTGAAGTAATTATTAAATAACGTTAATACTTCCAGTGAGACAAAAAGTCCTCTATCAGAGTTATCCTTAACTCACATTACTGTTTATTTGAAATATTTAAAATTCCTTTTTTCAAAAGCTAAATTTGAGACACTGAGATATTTCAGACGACAGTGCGTAATTTAGTGATTGTATTACCATACATACTCAAACTGTTATTTTAGTTGTTTTGATTTAATTGAATGTTTCTGAGCATTTCTGTAATATACACTTACTGTAGAATATTTGCAAGTTACAAAAACAATGTTTACACATAATCTTAGCACCATGAGTGTTTATTCACTGTTAAAACTTGTTTTGTTTACAGGAAGGTAATATGTCATGTATAATGCATGTAACATGATTTTTTCTCACATTAAGTTTAAATTAGAAGTATAACATTGCACCCTTCTTTTTCATTTAAATTAAATAATTTTATATCATAATAATTGCCAAAGGGCAGTACAAATTTTAAGAAGCACCATTATCATTGACTTACAGTTACCCATAATAGATATCTATATTAATTTATTTGGTGGCAGTCATGTTGCTTTCACATTTTTTCCAGTATAAATAATTGTGCACTGACTATCTTTTTGTATGTATTTTTGTTAGTATGTTGGATTATTGTACTTTTGAAACATTTTTAAAGGGAGAATAACTGGCTCAAAGGGTCAGCTTTATAAGGCTCTTGAGAAGTACATTAATTTCAAAATGTCAAGCTATGTCCTTTTAGTAAAGTTGAGCAGATGGCTACTTTCTGTGGTTTATTTGGCTCTATTTCATTTTTTAGGTTTGAGGCGGCTAAGAAGGAGGCTCATGCTGTAGATAAAAAGCTTGCAGAGAATCAGGAAGATGAAGCCACCCTGGAAAAGAAATGGCCCTTTCTTGGGGTTCCTTTGACAGTCAAAGAAGCTTTCCAGCTAAAAGGTATTGTTCCTTGTATTTTCATTCTTTAGATAAATGAGGTGAACTCACAAATAGCATATATTTTCTGAACTTATAAACTGAAAAGGTGATTATTAAAGTGAAATGTTAATGTAAGCTTCTTCATCAGTTTTCAAAAACTGTTTTTTATTGAAATAAGGGGAAATATTCTGGAAATTCCATTGGGAAGAGAGACAATAATGACCATCATCTGTTAGACCTGTAGAGCATAAAAGGAACTATACTCAGTGCCCATTAAACTTCAAAGAAGACTATAAGAATAGTATTGTTACCTCATTTTTCAAAGAAATACATGGAGACTTGTGAACCTAAAGTAGCTTTACTAAAGCCAAGCTGTGACTCTGATAATAGCCTGTTTTCTCTCTATAATGCAATTCATATTTTATACCTTCTTTACCTCCTGACTATCCTCAAAAGTAAATGAAAATCCCAGATGCTTGGAAATTAAACAACATACTTCTAAATAACTGTTCAACTGATCAATAAAAAAATTGAAAGGGAACTTTTGAACTGATAGGAAACAAAAGAACAGTAAAACAAAACTTGTATGATGCAGCTAAAGAAGTTCTTAGAGGTAAATTTGTATCTCTGGGTGAGTAAAATTGAATGAAAGAAATATTTTAAATTAATAACCAAAGTAAAACAAATAGGAAGGAATCAATAAAGATTAGAGTGGAAATCAGTGAGGTAGAAAACAATAACACAATAGATAAAATCACTGAAATCAAGTTTGTTTAAAAAAATCAATAAAATTGAGAAATTAACCAAAGGAGGAAGAAAATAAAAATTAATAAAATCAAGAAATAAAGAGGTGGCATGAGTACAAATTATAATTGTATTAAAGAGATTATAAATTAATAGGAACAACTTCATGTAAACAAATTATATAATGCAAGTGAAATGAAAAGATTCCTAGAGAGACACAAAAAAACCAAAAAATGACTCAAGAGAAAAAGGAAAATATGAATAGACCTATGGCAAGTAAAGAGATTGAATTAGTACTTGAAAATCTCCTCACAAAGAAAAGCCCATACTCAGATGACTTTACTAGCAAATTCTATTACATATTTAATGAAGACATAATGCAGAATACTTCAAAAAGTCTTCTAGAAAATGAAAGATGTGGGAACAAAACATAAATGTGTAGACATATATCCCTCAATAATGTAGGTGCAAAAATCCTCAACAAAATAATTTAAAAAAAGGAATGTCTAGACGGAATCATATATTATGATCAAGTGGAATTTATCAAAAGAATGCAAGATTTGTTTAATAACTGAAAATTCTAGAACTAATTGATCAGTTCAGCATAGTCACAAGGGACAAGCACATTAAAGCTGATTTTTAAAAATTAGAGTATATAAGGAAGTTGAAGGATTATCCTAAACCTGTAACTTACTTCTCTATGTGAGAGGGAACGTAGCAGAATTATATAAAAAAGACTTGGAGTCACATGGACTTACAACTTAATTATACCTCTCTCTTTTCTTGGCTGTGTGACATTGAGTCCATTTTTAAAAAAATTTGAACTTCTTATGTGAGAGTGACATCATCAAGATGGCAGTGTAGGAATTCTCTACTGTCATCCCTCCATATAACATCAATTTTTGCACTCACTGAGAGATGAGGGTACCTTGGTGGGTGTCAGGGTGTCCAGCAGAGAAGTTCCAGTGCAACTTTGGAGCACTTCAGTATTCTGAACTAAGGAAGACAAAAGGGAGGTTCTCAACACCCAGCCCAGCTTTGTGGGATTGAGAGAAGGCATACAGTTTTAAGAACTCCCCTGAAAAGGAAATAATAAGTGTACAGTTGCTACCTTGTAGAAAATGCCTGAGAAAGTCTCAGAATCCCAAGACTGACAAATAAAGTTATCTCTCTCTCTTAAATGTAGTCAGTAAGGACTGGAGGAGGTAATTGCCTCAGAAAATGCAAAAACAGAACCATAAAACTTCAAGGAACATGAAAACTCAAGGAAACATGACACCATCAAAGGAACACAGTAATTTTTCAGTAAATAGACTCTAAGAAATGGAGATATATCTAAAAAAATACAAATTTTATTTAGAAACCAGAAATAGACTCACAGACAGAAAAAAACTATGGTTATATATATATATATATATATATATATATAAATTAGATAAACAACAAGAACCTACTGTATAGCATAAGGAACTTTATTCAGTTTTCTCTAAGGAGCTGTAATGGAAAAGAATCTAAAAAAATCTATATGCATGTATATGTATAACTGAATCACTTCACTGTATACATGAAACTAACATTGTAAACTGATTACAATAAAAAATGAGAATTAAAAAGATAAACAACCAGGTCCTGCTATATAGCACAGTGAAATATATTTAATATTACATTCAATTATATTCAATATCTTGTAATAACCTATTGTGGAAAAGAATATATAAAAAGATACGGAGGAGGAGGCCAAGATGGTAGAGTAGTAAGATGCTCATAGCTCACCCTCTCCCACAAATACACCAAGATTCACATCCACAGACCCACTCAGCCAACCAGATCACCTGTGGAACTCTGACAGGACATCGTCCACCTCAAAAGACAAAGATGCCAAAAATATGATAGGAGAAAAGGAAAAAAGAAAAAAGAAAAGGCAAAACAGTATGTGACAGGTCCCGTGGGGAGGAAGAGGCAAAGGAGGACTAGTGCTTGTTGGCTGGGTCTCCCCCTCTCCAGTGGAGAGGCCAGTGGGACACAGGGGGAACCTCTGAGGCTTGGATCTGTATGGAGCACCCCTTGACTGACAGAACTCAGTTAAATGGGCAGAGAGGGTCCCTGTGACACCCAGCCCAAGATGCAAGCCAGGAGCTGGGGTCAGGGACACGCTGCCTAAGCCAGGCAGAGGACGGTGGCGGCTGCACTGATGCAGCCCCGGGGACTGGAGTGTGCTGCACGCTGTGGTTGAGTGGGTGCACAGGGCAGAACAACATGGGACCTCCATGAAACAACATGGCTGTTGTGCCCTGGAGGAAGGGTGCCATACCCCCATTTCTGACAACCCGTAGAAGGTTTTTGGGTGAAGAGAGGCGGGGCTCAGGCACAGCCGCCATACCTCCAGCGCTTAGCACCCAGGCGGGAGCAGGGGTGAAACCTGAATCTGCACCTAAGGGCTTAGCAACCTCAAAGGCCAGACAGACACTTGTCTACAGCCTGAGGTAGATAGGATCCTTCCGTCCTGGTCCCTCTGAGAACTTGCACTGCCAAGACAAACAAGGAGCTGAGTTTTGGCCCAGAGCAGGGGCTGGGCTGTTCCGCAGTCTTCCCCAAGCCCGCCTACGGAGTGCTGATGGGAGGATGAGCTGGCAGCAGCACAGAGCTGTGGAGCGATGGACACCAGGAGCGGTGGGTGGCCTTCCGCCTTTCTGGCAGGAATGCTGCACCTGACCACAGTGCTGGGAGGGGGCATGATCTTCCCTCCTACCTGGCCAGTCTGCAACATCTGACTGCAGCATTGGGAGGGGCAGTGACTTGCCCACCCACAGTGAATGAGAGCTGCACCTGACCCAGTGTTGGAAGGGGGTGCAATCTGCTTGTTGAACAGGGACTGGGAGCAGCACAGATGAGGGCGCCAATGGAGGGCCTCTGGAAACAGCAAGCTGAGTTCATGAAACAGGGTGAAGACAGAAAGGCTTCTCATTAAGAGCACACAGTCTCCAGGAGAACACCAGCTTATTTTTTTTAAATCTGTTTTTACATATTGTATTTTCTATTACCTTTTTAATTTTAATTTTTAAACAATTATATATGCTCCCAGTTTTCATCACTTTAAATTTTTTTTAAATATATTTATTATTAATATTAAAAATATCCACATCATTTCATTTTTATTTCTCTTGGTTTTGATCTCCTTTTATTGATTACACACAGGTTTTAAATATATTATTTTCCCTCTTTTCTCCTTTTTTAAAGATTTTTAAAAGATGTTTAACCCGATTTCTATTCTGCTTCAACTTGCTCTTCTATTATTCATTATACACTGTTTTCAAACCCTTTTTCCTCCCTTCTTTTAAATTCTCTATTTTATCTTTTTCTATCTGTTCTATTTTCTATTACCTTTTCAATTTCTACTTTCTAAACAATTGTATATGCCTCTAGTTTTAATTCCTTTAAATTTTTCTTTTAAACTTGTTATATAATTATTAATTTAAAAAT